TACATTATATATCACCCTTTTCACACGAAACACTATCGGTTTGCGTTCACCCAAATTCCGGATTAAAGGACAATGAATCCGGAATCAAAACACTTGAGGTAGGTAGTTTGACATCCGAATTCAAATATTAAACATTCGATTTGAGCCTAGATTAATATATGTGATAATGCAAATGTGTATTCTTACCCAGAGTATCAGTGCGTATGCTTTCTATTTACTATATCTTGCGCAAGAAAACCACGTGCATACATAAATATTAATTTCACTCGCGAATGTGAATTTTCGCATTTCTTATCTAACTTCAGGACACGGCAGTAAAAGTTTGACATGTGACTTTCAAGCATGGTCATCATTAAGGTATTCTGACCTCTAGCTGTTTCTCTTTTCTTTTTCTTTTTTGAGTGACTGTCCTTTTATAAACTCCGACATTTTCGAAATGCTAAGGATTTCTACCCCAGGAATAGATTACCTTAGATGTATTCGACAAAACCTTTGTTTCGAAATTTTGGGTCCTCAATGCCTTTCAACTTCGTTCTTTATTTGGCCTTTTTAACTTTGTTATTTCTCGCGTCACTGATGAGTCTTTTGAAGACCGAACTCGCGTCTGGCGTACAACATTTTCATCCTGTTTTTTTTATATATCTACATATCTTTTTATATAAATTGGTTTCTTTTGAGAGTATGTTCAGGTATTCATACAACTTCTGAAAATAAGATATTCTTCAAAACCAAATTTTCCTGTAAAATATTTGGATTGATTTAAGTAACTTCAGGAAATCCTTTAAATTTGAGATGTTTTAAGAGACCAAAATAATTGTCAGTAAATAAGAGGTCCCAATGAAGCTGGTGTGTTACTCTCAAGAAAAATATACGAAACCTTCTTATAAGTTGCATGCCAAACGGTCTCTTCACATGGAAGTTGATAGATAAATGCATCTAGATTATGAAGTAAACTGAGTGCTTAAATTTATATTGCGATTGGTTTGTGCAATTTGCGTTACACATCCGGTTTTTAGAAACTGGAATATGCAAAAGCATTAAGAAAAAAATGATGTACACTCAATCCAAGTAATAAATAAAATAGTCTAGCTTAAAAAGGTAAATTCAAATAGTAGCTGTATATATACACTTTTCTATTCACAACTAAAATCCAACATTAATTGACTTGTGCAAGAATTTACACACAATTATATATTTTCAATTAAGGTTTTAACATCATCATTATCTTATTCTATTCACAGTCAATTATGTCAAATCAAAAGCAAAACAAATAAGCAACAATTTTTTTATGACCAGGCGGCGGGTTCGGGTTCACGTGTTGCTTTCCTATTTTAAAGAAAGCAACTTGTTTATATAATTGAATTGAATGTAAGCATATCTCTCGTTCTTATTTAAAGCTATCATTTTGTATTAACCATGGTATCTTGGTGTATATTTGAAACACACGATTTCGATTATTAATATATAAATAGCACATAGCTGAGAGGGTGATAGAGCAGATTGTTACCCCGAGAAAACATTGTCAACTGAGGCGAAGCCAAGGTTGACAATGTCTTTTCAAATAGATCTCACAATACGATATGCATACATGAATTATTAACACCTTCTATATATGCATTTAAATGTTTGTATACGATTGCACTAAGAATATCATATCAAAACGAGTGTATTAATTATTGCTCTTAAATTACCGACCTATGTAGAGGAATGGTATATTTCAACGGAGGAATAATTGTACGATATAAGCAAATGTTAATTTGATAGACAATAAGCAAAAGCGCTGTGCAAGACACACAAATACGAGGCAGGTCTATGTGAAAAAAGCAATAATTTACTACTGTACAATTCGGAACGAACAAATCGATTATTAATATATAAATAACATATAGTTGAGAGGGTGATAGAGCAGATTGTTACCTCGAGAAAACATTGTCAACTGAGGCGAAGGTTGACAATGTCTTTTCGAGGGGTAACAATCTGCTCTATCACCCTCTCAGATATGTGTTATTCAATTTATTATACTGAATGTTCTGTTATTACTGTCGATTAAATTTCAAATTCAAAGTAAAAAACTATGACGTCTTGTACATAACAACCATCCGTATTTAATAAAGCGCACACTTGATCAAGCGTCTCCGTGAAGGGTAATAGAGTATTTGCCATAGGATAGAGTCGTATTAAATAAAGCGCACACTTGATCAAGCGTCTCCGTGAAGGGTAATAGAGTATTTACCATAGAATAGAGTAAATTAACACCCTCGTATAAGCCAATCAAAATATTGCATTTTTACGTGAAGTATAATAATACATATTGCTTTCAGTGCACCATGAGATAAATAGATCTCACAATACGATATTCATACATGAATTAATAACACCTACTATATATGCATTTAAATGTTTGTATACGATTGCATTAAGAATATCATATCAAAACGAGTGTATTAATTATTGCTCTTAAATTACCGACCTATGTAGAGGAATGATATATTTCAACGGAGGAATAATTGTACGATATAAGTAAATGTTAAGTTGATAGACAATAAGCAAAAGCGCTGTGCAAGACACACAAATACGAGGCAGGTCTATGTGAAAGAAGTAATAATTTACTACTGTACAATTCTGAACGAACAAATTGAAAAAGGTAAAGTTAACAAAACAATGAAAGTTTTCGTATTTTTTTCATTTGAGATATTACTCTTTTTAAATAATTACCATCAATCAGTAATCACAACCACTCAGATATGAAAAGACTATATCTAATATATGTATGAGGTTATTTGAACATCTGGTTACTTTTATATCTGATAAGATAATAAATCATTCATTGTTTAAGATATATCAAAGTTAATCGAGATTGGACCGTTAAACATTACTTAATACGATTGAAATATGATGCTTCTTGTAGTTTCTAGGTCAGAATTTTTAATAAGTCATCTATTACTTTCATCTTGTATTCTAGATAGTATCCTTTGATGGCTGACCTCAATTTTGACAACGGACGATGAACTGTTTGTACAGTGTAAGCTGTGTGAGTGGATCATTTTGTTGGTAAGTTTTGCACACTTTATCATTTATTCAATAGTTTAGTCTTTTATGAGGAAAATTTAAGTTATTATACCACAATAACACAGATAGTCATACGATATGAATGGAATTACGATATCAGCAAGGCTAAGACAAGACAATGTACGTCCATGACATATGCGTTGTAGTTGTGTTATTTGTTAATGATTCGTAGCATTTCATTTAAACCAATGTCATAATTTTTCTTGAAGTTTTGAATTAAACCTAATATTTCGTTCAATAGTCGTTTTTCACAAAGTTACCAAAAATACTTTGAAAGTTTGTAAATGTGTTACTCTGTATTTCTTTTGTTATCTATATATTACGCGTTACGCGGTATATATATATATATTCATTATTAAAAAAAATCTATAAAGTCTACCATATGGATCTATAGTCAGCTTTGTGGAGAAAACATCACAAGTATGATTTACTTGTGTCTCATCCATCTTGCTTAGATTTAGCAAATAAGATATATAACTATAGTCAGAAGGATATTCACTTTTCATTGGGAAAAAGAGAGTTGCAAACATAACTTCCAAGTCTCCTTATCTTATGAAATGGTTTTTTTATGTCTTTTGCAGAAAGATTTCTTACAACAAAATGGAGGCATTTTGCTTTAGAAAAAATAACGTTTAATTATCGATGAATCATTCCAATTTTTTTCAAGTCATTAATGAGGATCCATACTTATGTTTTTGATTATAACACTAAAAAAGTTTAAAGTGATATTAGGGTTTTTTCTTTTGCCCGTACGTTCGATGGCCTGCCTTTTCTATTCACAATACATCACAAGCAGAAATTAAATTTCAATCAGAAACTCTTAAAAAATAATCAGTACCTAGTAGAATCGTGCTCCTATTTTTGATTTACACCTGAATGATACTTAGTTGTTTTCCAATAGCAAAACGTATAATTGCAGTTCGTTTGGAAGCCTTTGATAAATTTTACGAATAACTTGTCTAGAATCACAGAGATTCAGAAATTTAAGTTACGTTTGAACTTTTTTTTTCAATTATTAAAACCATACATTGACATCTAGATATCTTTTTGTTTTGTTTTTTTGTCTTGGTAATGTTGATTTGGTGTACGATTGACATATATACCACTAACATCTATAAAAAAAATATTCTCGCTGACATACGTAACCTAAACGTTCTCGGGTTAAACTTAAACGTTTAATAGATGCCCACATATGATGCCCATTTCCCGATCTTAGTACATAAAAGAAGATTTGAGGTAATAAACATAAATAGTTCCAATTTTTCTGTACCAGATGCGCATTTCGACAATCAATGTCTCTTCAGTAATACTTGAGGTCAAAATATTTGAAAATCCAAAGCATATTAAAAAGATGAAGAGCTATAACCCAAAAAGGACAAAAAAGTATAGCCAAAGCCGGGCAAGGAATCAGAGCTTTGCATGAGGGACATATATTTCTTAATTTAAAAATTTTCAAATTTTTTAACAGCAAATTTTAATAACACAAAATCCGTATTTTCATGCAAGTGTCTAAGTAAACGTGAATAATGGCTAAAAGCCTAAACAACCCTCAAACACATTAAAGCTCAAAAGACATGATAAGGGCTTCATGAGGTCTTCAACAACAGAAAAACACAAAAAATTATTACACAATTTGGATACTCACTTTTCCCTGTCCGCACACCCACCCATCCGTCACATACTATTAGTTGGTTTTGGACTTCCTCCAACCATTCCAACAACCACTGACGAGGTTTGACGTTTTCATATTGTAGAATGATAATCGGTCCAATTAATACCAGTCAGAAAGCACCATAGTGACACAAAATGGTCCAGAAATACAACGATCAGCGGAACAAAGATTTGGATCAAGGTTGGGCTTGGGTAATAATGATTGCTGCAACGGGAACCATTATGATTAATTCAATACTCCTTTATTGCTCCGGAGTCCTGCATGTTGCTCTTCTGGAGAAATTTGAAGAGGACAATGCTTACACATCATTGATTGGATCAATATACAGCTGTCTTTTCTCATTTGCTGGTAAGTTGTTAAAGCAAAACAATAAGTTGCACATCACTCAGTAACAAAACACAAAATGAACAAACAAACAAACAAACAAGCAAGCAAACAAAACTAAACCAAACAAACCAACCAAATCGTACGATTTTCGTACGTACAACACTTGTTTCTGGTATATCGTTCTTTAAATACGCTCGTGAAAAAAAAGTTTCGAAAATATGTATCGTTTTGTGCCTAAAACAAAAATGTCTAGACAGAAAAGCCAATCCATGTATTGTCAATTTTTCTTGAAAGAGTTGTAACCTTAGTTGTAGCACAATTACATTATTTAAAGTTGGTTTTTGCCATACACTTGTTTGCCATTTGATAATTTCAAGTTGGTTTTTCCTTATTACCTTGCTGGATTATATAACGTATATACCTCTATTGCTGTGAAATCGACCACAATAAGTGAAAATTATACCTTTCCCATTTATTCGAAAAGTCAGTTGGAAAAAAAAACAATGACACGTCTTCTTCAAAACAGGGCGTTATTTATCATTTATCAATTTGCCCAATAGGAGTTCTTGATAACTTGATTTAATTGTAAACAGGTCCTTTTTCCAGCATCGTAATAAATGCATTCAGCTGTCGAGTGGCCGTGATGTTTGGAGGAGTTGTAACATTGGTCGGATTTGGACTGAGTTTTTTTGCTGCTGTCAATCTTAACTATTTACTTGTTACATATGGATGTGTTGCAGGTAAGTAGGAATAAGTTACCCAATACATATGACTGAATGTTTCCTAAAACAAAACATATCACCAGGTTTTAAAGGCAAGCGTTTTCAGTCATAAAAAAGAAGAATATATTCCTTCCAAGTATCCAATATACATTGAACAGAACCGCTCATGAAATTCCAAAATATTTATTGAAGGATTACTCGCCAAAACTGATACGCCTACTGTCCTTACTCAGAGAGAATGAATTTGATATCTCATATTATATATTTGTTTTACATTTTACCAAAATAATTATAAAATCACCTCTCTTAATCCATCTGAAAATGATAACCCCAAAACAATCATCCTTTACCTTGTATGTTTTTTTTTATTTTATGTTTTTTTTTTATTTATGATGAGCATCTACTTGTAGGCAGTTCAATTATTTGCAATTTTTCTCAGTTTATATCTTAATTTTTTATTAAGTTTTGTTCTGTTTAGAAAATAATAGAAAGGATAATACAATATGATAACTCTGAGTTTATGGGTTCATTTCTTTTCGATGTCACTTTTTACCAGAATGTTTTCTTATAAACGTGCTCAATATAAGGGAGTTCAATTTAGAAGGGATAGATTTCTTTGTGAGAAAATTCTCTACTCAGTTAATAATAATTTCCTGATAACAATTTCCTCAGATAAATTCTAAGTACCAAATTTAGCATATTAAATGACCATTTAATACAGAGTTTGTTTTGCATTATGCATTATGTATATACATTGTTGAAGGCAGTAAATTGCTCTATAGTACTTTACATCCTTCTCCTTTGATCTCTAGTAGATATATGTCTCATTCGCAATCATACCACATCTCTTATTTGTTAATTTATTTATCTAGTATCATAATTGAAACTGTGTTACCTGCATGTTTTTAAAATCTTAACGTATTCATTGTTGAAGTTCTTACATTGCTCTATAGTAGTTTACATCATCGTCCTTTGATCTCTAGTAGATATATGTTTCATTCGCAATCATTCCACATCTCTTATTCTTTTAATTTATTTATTTATGATCATAAATGAATCTGTGATACATGTTTTTTTTAAATCTTAACATATAGTTTTTGAAGTAAGACTTCCGGCATTTATATTTAAATGTGGCACTTGGTTCGAATTGGAGATCTAACCACAAAAAGTTGTCTTTTAGAATATAAAGCTTGAATAAGTCAAATGTTACAAAAATTGTGGGAGGTGGTGGTTCTCTTTAGACATCAGCGAACTTCATTCTTATGATCATTGCTGAAAAATCGTTTGTTTGTTATCAATAAAATCAAAGAATAGGCCTTCCAATTTTTGTTGGATCTTTTTTATCAGTTATATCCACTGTTTAACTGGATGAATGAAATAATAATAAAAAAACAGTAAAAGAGATAGAGTACACCAACGGTTCTCGAAATAAAATAAATAACAAATGTCATCGGTGTAATTTCAGCCGTCTAGACGTACAAAAATTTGTCTTACGATTGTGAAATTAATGCTGAAACAGATTTCTGTCGCTTATTAGCTGAGGAACAAATCATAATCTGATTCTACTTCCTTATTTTACATATCAAACATGTCATGCACGTTTAACATAATTTACGGAAAATAAAGAGCTTCTTTCCATTTTATCTTGACTCGCCAAGATACTTTATACTTCTACATTTCATCCAGTGTAAACTGATTTTAGACATATTCATCTCATCCGAGGAAGAGAAATATAATCATCAGCCGATTGTTTTGTGATATTCAAATACTAGTTATGTGTACCTGCAATTGCTACTTGTAAGCAGAGTTAATTTTAATAAAAATTTGATTATCAAAAGTATCAAATAACGTATATAAGTAAATATAGGTCATCGTACAGTCTTTAATAATTACCAAATACCCATACCGTAAGCTATAAGAGGCCCGGAATGGCAAATTGTGACAGTTCATTAGGGAAAAACTTACGGTCTGTTTTATGCCAAAAAATTAAACTAAAACTAAATACAGTAGACAACAACGAACGACAACCAATGAACTACAAGTTCCCATACTTAGTTTTCGTAAAAGATATTTCAGGTTCAACAAAACTAAAGGGGACTTCCCAAGTTACTTGGTTAATGAAACAAAACTCATAAATGTTTCTCATTGTTATGTTAAACAAAATAAAAGCCGAACGAATTCGAAACGGAAAATCCGGATAAAATGGTAAGTTTTAGACATAAGAACGCCCGTTTTGTAAAATCAGGTTAATGAATAGTCAGTCTACAGAAATAGAAAACTAATACCAATGAAAATAAAGGATAAATTTATACCAATGAAAATAAAGATTAAATTTATACCAATGAAAAAAAAGCTTTAATTTTGAAAGCATGTTAATGTTGCACATCGAGCTATGTTCTTCACACACAATATACTATTTAGATTTGAAAATTAAACATTCTATATCAGCACAATGACATCATGTTATTCGTGTTTTTGTTTCATAAAGTTCATGTTATTGATGTAATATATTTTCAGTACGAAATATATGTCAGTTTATTGTATCATCTACTTGAATATGTTTTATAGGTATTGGCGTTGGTATGAGTACGATTTCCGCCATAACTGTTATTGCTTATTTTTTCCACAAAAAGTATGGTGTTGCAATAGGTATAGTAATGAGTGGAGCTGGTATTGGAACATTTATAACAGGTCCTTTGGTGCAATATCTTATCATGGAATATGGACTTCAAGGCACTTTCCTGTTCTTAGCTGGACTCGGAGGAAACAATATTGTCATGGGCGCGTTGATGTTTCCCTCTGAATTAGAACATAAACATAAAAGAGAATCCAAATTAAATCACAGCAAAGATACAACACCTAAACGACAATGCTGTATAAATTACGATTTACAGAACATTCTTCATATTGACATTTTTTTAGATAAAACTTTTATGTGTTGTTGTGTTCAGTATTGCTTATGGAGTATGGCTTTCTCTATACTTATGCTACATTTAATAAATTACGCAATAATCCAAGGAACTACAAATGAAGCAGCTGCATTCCTTATGATATACGTTGGTATAGCATCGGCTATCGGAAGGCTAATATCGGGTTTTTCAGTCGGTTATGATGGTTTAGATCCAGTTTTGTTAAACTTTGGATGTAATGGCATACTAGCCTTAGCAACTGCATTCTTTCCCTTATATTCTGACAGATATTCAGGACAAGTCATATTTGCTGTTATATTTGGATTATACTCTGGTGGCTTGAGCACAATGATTAGTCCGTTGTGTATGGATCTACTTGGGGCAAAAAAGGTTGCCAGTGGAGTCGGTACTTTATTTTTCATTGGTGGAGTAGGATATCTTGCAGGACCACCAGTAGCTGGTATGTATATGACTCATCATATGATCATTTAGGTAAAATTAAATCCCGAAGACTCTTGTTTATTAGATAAATCTCTAATTCAAACATTGGTAAACTATTGTCTAATTTACCATGTTGGATAAGATATTACTATTTTGAAAGGGTATTGGGTCTAGTTTTTTAAAAACAACTCATCTATCAATCTCTTTACAGGTTTGATTTTAGACAACAGAGGAGAATACAAAGAAAGCCTGTATTTATGTGGTAAAAAAGTTTGGTTTGTTTTTAATTTACCTTATATTGTCAACCATTGTGACGGATAATCTATTCTCTAATTTTCATGCTATTTTCACATTTCTCGATCGGTGTGAGAAAAGTATTTCTCATCTCTAGAGAAAACTTTGTTCTAGGCAAATGATTTGTCGAAATTCAATTATGACGTAAAATTTTCTTGATTTCTTCTGAATTTGCTATTGTAACGTCATAAAAAAGGCGACCATGTCTGATGACGTCACATATAAAGAGCAAAACTTTCTGCAAATCTTTGAAAAGGAAGGATACACTTTGTTAAGATATCGTAAAAAAAACATTACAAAAACAGATTCCACCACTATATCTCGTGTATTACGATATTGCTCTACTCTCAACAGTTAAATTTTAAATATTTAAAAAGCTCGGCAAGCTTTGCGTTTTAAATTTTGAAATTCAACTGTCTCGAGTAGAGAAATATCGTAACACACTTAATGCAGTGGTGGAATCGATATCTGCATAATATAACAAATTGCATCCTTATAATTTATTAGAATACTTTATTAGAATACAAATAAATCTAAAAGAAATGCAATGATTTAGGGCAATTGCGTTTGGCTAACTCTCAGAATATCTCTGACTCCTGTTGATACTCTTAAAAGCGAAATTATCATGCTTACTATGAGTATCGGCTACAATTAGATATTAATACATATACGAATTTAAGCAAACATGGTAAGTCATAGCATTAATAGACGATTCACGCGAATAATCTATAATCTTGCAAAGAGAAAATCAACCTACTAAAGCTATCTTTAGGTCTAAAGTTCATAGTTTTTAATTGAATTCAAAACCATTTATTTTAGTTTTTGTGTGAATAAAAGCATAGATTAAGCTGATCATCTACATCAGTTCACGTCTTTGTACTTCTCCCTGGGAACCGTTTTCCCAGTAGCTACATTCTTATTATAAAGTTTCAGCTTATCATTAATGGGCCTTGCATTAAAAACTTAGGGTGCAACAACCTCAGGTAAACTTTATCTCACATGATTCTTATTATTTGTTAATAACTTTTTCCCTATTTTGCTTTTCAAATTGTATGAGTCAATTAAGATCATTCCATTAAAACCCGTGTCTTCTGCACTAAAATAGATGCATTTCGATATCACAAACTAGTCAAAACATTTACTAAATTTTATCATCGGTATAAGGACATCATTCGTAAATATAGCTCAACATGCAGACTTCTTATACGTTCAGGTATTTCACATCCATTTTTTTATGGAAATATTCTTTATAAAGCACAAAAATGTCAGTATTCACCTCTGAAACTAACAAAACCTTTAAATAGACTTATTAAGAAGGGATATAGTTACGATACTGTTGTCAGGTCATTAAAGATTGCATATTTTGGCGTTAATATTGATTCACTTATAGGGTCTTTGCATCGGCACTAAACACATTTATTTAAAAACCAGTTGTTGGCATGACACGGGTTATGTTCTTCTCATATATGTTATGATGGTATGATACTAAACCCCTAACGGGAAGGATTGTGCCTGATATTCATATGATGAAGACATAATCTTTCAATCAGTTTAATTGAAGTTTGGAGCTGGCATGTCAGTTAACTGCTAGTAGTCTGTTGTTATTTATGTATTATTGTCATTTTGTTTATTTTCTTTGGTTACATCTTCTGACATCAGACTCGGACTTCTCTTGAACTGAATTTTAATGTGCGTATTGTTATGCGTTTACTTTTCTACATTGGCTAGAGGTATAGGGGGAGGGTTGAGATCTCATAAACATGTTTAACCCCGCCGCATTTTTGCGCCTGTCCCAAGTCAGGAGCCTCTAGCCTTTGTTAGTCTTGTATTATTTTTAATTTTAGTTTCTTGTGTACAATTTGGAGTTTAGTATGGCGTTCATTATCACTGAACTAGTATATATATTTGTTAAGGGGCCAGCTGAAGGACGCCCCCGGGTGCGGGAATTTCTCGCTGCATTGAAGACCTGTTGGTGGCCTTCTGCTGTTGTCTGTTCTGTGGTCGGGTTGTTGTCTCTTTGACACATTCCCCATTTCCATTCTCAATTTTATTCGTTTATGTAAGACGCCGATAAAAATAAAACTATAAAATCGAATTCAGTTTTTAAAATGATTGATTCGATTGAAACCCTGGTTAGTTGAGTATTTTGATAGTGAAGAACTACAATCTCTGACGGTTTGTCATATTCTTATTTTCCAGGTTGTCTCTTCCTCCTATCAGCCATGTTTACGCTTGGTACAACTTTATTCAGAAGTCAACTCAATGAACACGAGGTTACTATTTCGTTGGACAATTTAAAAGATCCAAATTTTAAAATATTTGATGAAAAGTTGTTACATAATTGGAACATATCCGTAGAAGTTCTTCCGGAACAAACACCAATTTGTAATAAGGAAAAAGATGCACATCAAAATTATGTTGCAGATGATAAAACAAATGAACAGACTCCTTTAACAGAATAGTGTGCACAATAAGAATTTAGATTAAAATGAAGTGAGACATTATTAATGATTCTTATTAATTTCCAGCAAAATTCATTCCAGCAGCGCCTGAATACGGAGTATATATCTCCCAGTTGATATGATACTCCAGGGCTTGTATTTCCTATCATGATTTCCTTGGTCGAAGGTTGCTGCTCACAAGGAAGCTATTAAATCAAGAGTTCCAAGTAGTGAAGTTAAAATCGTCCCTTCGTAAATTTTACGGACGCCATCACGAGTTGGTTGACCGTTACGGATTTTCCTTTTTACAGATGATAGCTGATATGCTCCTAATGTCGTAACTACAATCCTGTCCCCTTTTCCCGAATGTGACCTACCGAATTAGACTTTTTACCGGTTTTGTACTAACTTAAGCAACACGACGGGTGCCACATTCGGAACAGGATCTGCTTACCCTCCCGGAGCACCTGAGATCACCCCCAGTTTTTGGTGGTGTTCGTGTTGCTCAGTCTTTAGTTTTCTATGTTGTGTTTTGTGAACTATTGTTTGTCTGTTTGTCTTTTTCTTTTTTTGCCATGGCGTTGTCAGTTTATTTTCGACTTATGAGTTTGAATGTTCATTTTGGTATCTTTCGCCTCTCTTTTTCTTGTCAACGTACCTTTATGTTGTTGTATGAAAAGGAATAACGTCCATAATTATATGCATGAACATTGTATTTTAGTTCCCATTTCTTATGTTGGTAACATTTTTTTCTGACATCCAACATCTGAATTTCATATGCCCAGTGCCTTGATAGATATGCTTGAAGCTACTTTTTCTTTGATATTTTACAAATCTTTCTTATCCCACTTTGACAAATTTTACCAAGCTGATATTTTACATATACATTTGTATGTACATAACTATTCGTAATGTCAAAATGGTCAATAGCAAAAAGGCGAATGAAAATATTCAGTACAACAGGTAAAGACATTAGGCAGATTGATGCTCTTGACATGGTACTAACAGGTATGTCTACTATATCGACAAAATAAACACAAAGTTGATCAATCTCTGCTAGACTCAGCTTAATCTCAAAGTGGTGACATTTCCTCTAATCTATGACCTCTTGTGCAATTAATATTTCTGTCCGTTTTTTTTTAAATTAAACAGGTGTCCGATTTTAGTTCAAGTAATTGGAATTATTAACTTCATAAGTACAAAAGTAAATAATATTAATAAAACTTGTACTATCATAGTTATAATCAATTCAAATAATGATAATAATGATAAGAACTGAATGTGCCGATACTAGTATTTCTATCTTATAGCTATCAGCAAAAATTAGAGATTTTGCAATGCTTTGGAGATCGAGAAAATCAATTCCCCTAAATAGTGGTTTTGGTGATTATAATATCTGAAGACAAAATATAGCCATGGCGGGAGAATTTTCTGAAAAAATATTTTAAACGTAAAAATAAGAAGATGTGGTATGATTGCTAATGAGACCACTCTCCACCAGAGACCAACTGACATATAAGTTAACAACTATATCTTAAGCGGCACATTTATCTTCTTTGGATGAGATGTAAAATTTTGTTTGGTTTATTAGTCGTCCAAACTTACTTCCCCACTTTCCCCATTGATCAACATTTAAACGATAAATATTTGGGAGAACAAATTAGTCTAATGATAAACGTAGTTCAGTGTCCAAAAATATATATACAACTTTATCATGAGAAACATTTGGTTCAATGTTTTCTTTGTTAGAAGCAACCTTTTATCAAGATAACCATGATAGGAAACGAAAACCTTGTATTATCATTCAATCAAGTAATGTTTTATTTACTTCGATAGTTTTACGAACGCCCCCATCTTTTGGATAATATCACTCACAAATGATTGATATATGTAATTTGCTGTAGAAACAATCCGTCCTCTTTTCCTCTATTGTGAACTGCCGAATGCAACTTTTCACGGGTTATTAAATTATATGATTAATACTAGAAGAGCAGGAACTTTTCACTCTTTTTAAGCATCTGAGTTTACCATAGTTTCATTTTAAAAGGGTTAATGTTGTTTATGCTTTAGTAGTTGTATGATGTGCCTTTTAATTTGTGAATATATTTGTCTGTGTTGTTTCTTCTGGAAACAATCCTTTCTATCCAATGTCTTGGAAAACAGTTTTTTTTTCTCATTTCAAATTTTCACATAAGGGAAATTACATGTACAGATGATTTATAACTGGTCATGTCTTATGGTTCGACGCAAGACATTTACCATTTTACTATTGCATGATGCCTAATCATTTGACATGTCAATTTTACACTATATAAA